CCAGTCTGGGTGACAGAGTGAGACTCCAACTCAAAAAAAAAAAAATAATAATAATAATTGACACTCACTGCAGCATCGTCCTCACACCCAGCTGAGGCAGTGAGAGTGCATTCAGCCCCTTTGGAAAGGAACTGTGTAGCATGTTTGAGGAATCAGGGAATTGACTGGAGCCTTGGTTCCCATCATTGCCATTCTGGGAATTTTTCTTGGAGAAATAGTCATCCCAAAGGTGGGAGGAACCATGGAAACGCTCACAATGACATCATCTGTCATTGGGAAAAACTGGTGTATAACCCATTTAACCTGTCAGGAGCTTAGAAGGAAAACCCAAAAGGGAGAAGAGATTTGTAAATTACTCTACCCCTGCTCAGTGACGTATCACTAGTCCTAACAAGGATAAAAGAGTATGGGGAAAGACAATAGTCATGGCAGAATGAGGGGAAATCTGTCTTTATACTGTGGTTATGATGATATAAAATTACATTTCCTTAAAATATTTGGAAAGAAATATAAAAACTATAACTCCTGAGGCAGGCCAAATTGTTGATGACTAGATGGCTTTCATTTTATTTTTTGATCCAAATTTTCTGACAACTAAACATATGGATATAGAATATGATTGGAAGCTATCCCAGCTGGTGATAAACTGTGCCACCCTCCCTCTAGGGAACAAGGTAACCAACTATCTCAAATGTACTGCTGGCATTCCTCTCTGGAAGGGGAGTTCCTAGTGTGGAAGAACAGATTGCTGAAAAGTCATTTAAGTACCTGGCTCCATAAACACACCCAAGAATGATGAGTGAGGTTTTCCAAGCCATGGAATTATAGGGAATTGGTATTTTACTTCATACTTCCCTACACTTTCCAACTGATCATTCATGATAAGCATATATTACTTCACCAAATTTTTTTCTGTTATCAAAGTATAAATATTATTTTTAAAGCAAAATATATTATCAAAAATCTCCCTTTGGTCATGAATTGTACATAATGTCTTAGAATGTGACCCTTAATAGGGTAAGAGCTTTGTAATCCATAAATCCCAGAAATGTAATAAATAGAAGACAACAGGACATTACAAATGGCTGCAAATATGTGAAACATATTTATCATTTAAGCCCATTGCAGATTGTTGAAATTTGTAGCTTAAAGTTTTTAAGAAACTAAAATCATTAATGGAAAGGGTTAATCTTTACAGCTGCCCCCCCCCCCATGAGTATTCAGGATCAATGTAAGGAACTTAAAAAGCTCAGCTAGAGCTGTTCTTATTAAAGATCCCATGGGAAGTGGCATCCATTTTAGATCATCCCCTAGCTATATCACCATCTGGGGACATAGTAAGGTTGAGAGACTATTTGGGGAAGCCCCCGCATGATCAGAAGCGATCCCAGCTGGTGATAAACTGTCACCTCCCTCTAGGAAACAAAGTAGCAAATTATCTCAATATGTGCTGCTAGCATTCTTCACTGGAGGACAGGAGTTTCTAGTGTTGATGAAGAACAGATTGCTGAATGCTTATTTGAGCAACTGGATCCACATAATCCTGAAGGCAAGATGTTTCTTAGGTTCCCAGTGTTGAAGCCTGAACTGAACGAACAGCAGAACTGCAGATCTGTTACAAGCTCAGGCTGTCTAGTCAGGATGAATTCGCTGATGATCAGCAAACTGTGTGTCCCAAGCAAAGGCTTTCTCAAAATCATCACAGATGTAGGCGTTCTGTCCAGTGTGAAGTTTCTGGTGTTCAGTAAGGTGTGAACTCCAGCTGAAGCCCTCTCCACATTCTTTACACACATAGCGTTTGCTACCAGTGTGAACTTTCTGATGTTGGAGGAGGTGTGAGCTCTGGGTATAGTTTTTCCCACAGTCATTGCATTTATAGGGCTTCTCTCCGGTGTGAATCCTTTGATGTTGGATCAAGTGGATGCTTTGATTGAAGGCCTTCCTGCAGACCTTACAAATGTAGGGTTTCTCACCAGTGTGAATCCTCTGATGCTGAGTGAGGGATGAGTTGTGACTGAAGGTTTTCCCACATTCCTTACACTTATAGGGTTTCTCGCCAGTATGGATCTTCTGGTGCTCAATGAGGTGGTTGCTCCGACTGAAAGCTTTCCCACACTCACTGCACTCATAGGGCTTCTCTCCAGTGTGAATCCGCTGGTGTTGAATGAGGTGGGAGATCTGGGTATAGGCCTTCCCACAAACTTTGCACTCATAGGGCTTCTCCCCAGTGTGAATCCTCTGGTGGCGTGTGAGGGAAGAGTTCTGGCTGAAGGTTTTTCCACACTCAGTACATTTGTAGGGCTTCTCACCAGTGTGAGTCGTCTGGTGTTGAGTAAAGGATGAGGTGTGACTGAAGGCCTTTCCACACTCATTGCATATATAGGGCTTTTCCCCCATGTGAATGCTCTGGTGCCTCATGAGGTGGGAAATCTGTGTGTATGCCTTCCCACACTCGTGACACTCATAGGGTTTCTCACCAGTGTGAATTCTCTGATGCTGAGTCAGGGATGAGCTGTGACTGAAGGCTTTGCCACACTCATTGCACTCATAGGGTTTTTCTCCAGTGTGAACTCGCTGATGCTGAGTCAGGGATGAGCTGTGGCTGAAGGTTTTCCCACACTCATTACATTTATAGGGCTTCTCCCCTGTGTGGATGGTCTGGTGTTGGGTCAGGGAAGAAGTGTGACAGAAGGCCTTACCACACTCACTGCATTTGTAGGGCTTCTCCCCCGTGTGAATTTTCTGGTGGCGGGTGAGGTGGGAGATCTGTGAGTAGAACTTCCCACACTGGTCACATTTATAGGGCTTCTCCCCAGTGTGGCATCGCTGGTGTTTAATGAGGGATGAGCTCTGAGTGAAGGCTTTCCCACAGTCCTTGCATTTGTAGGGTTTCTCTCCAGTGTGGATCCTCTGGTGCTCAGTAAGCGATGAGCTCTGAGTGAAGGTCTTGCCACAATTGTGGCAGGCATATGGCTTCTCCCCTGTGTGGATGATGTGGTGCTGAATGAAGTAGGAGCTATTGCTGAATGCCTTGCCACAATCGTTGCACTTGTAGGGTTTCTCTCCAGTGTGAATTCGCTGATGCAAAATGTAGTCTGAATGGTAAATGAAGGCTTTCCCACATTCCACACAGGTAAATGGTTTCTTCTCTGTGAAGGTCCTTTGGCATCTCAAGCTCTTTCGTGGCCCACTCCACTTCCTGGGCCTCTCTCCAGGTGCTCTTTGCTTCCTGATGAGGGCAGAGGCCCGCCTGAGGCTTCTCCCAAGCTCATTACGCCTGAGGCCTCTTTCACCCAAGGTGTCTCCCTTGGGAGCGGCAAACAAACACCTCAGAGGGCCCTCCTGCTTTCCTGGGTCCTCCAGTGGATGGCAACATGCCTGGGGTTCCCCCAGCTTGGCGGCTCCAAACACAGCCCTTAAAATTTTCTCCAATGGGGAAGCTGACTCTTCAGAAGTCCCTTTTTTAAGAGATGTCTTCTGAATAGTCACAGAGTTCATCTCCAAGTCTGAAAGAAATGGAAAATACCAATACCATCTGTCCCAGGACAAAGGAAGCTGATTATTTGGACATGACAGGGTAAACCTAAAAAGAAAAAAAAAGGTTTCAAAATTTATGTTGCTATTTTGAAAGGCATGATGCAGACAGATTCATGTTCTGACATGGAAGGACGGCGTCAATATATTCTAAAAATAGAGACCCGAGTGGTAAACAGTTTATGTGCTCAGAGATTGAGGAGTGCTGATGTAAAATAAATTGTTACAAATCAAAAAGGAAAAAAGCAATAATCTAATAAAATAAGCAAGAATATAAATAGACAATTCACAGAAGAAAAATAAGTTGCTGATAAATATACTCAAAGAGGCTTAACATCACTAATAGTAAGAGGAAAAAAAATCAAGCCAGGCGCGGTGGTTCAAGCCTGTAATCCCAGTAGTTTGGGAGGCGGAGGCGAGAGGATTGCCTGAGCTCAGGGGTTCGAGACCAGCCTGAGCAACATGGCGAGACCTCATCTCTACAATAAATTAAAAAAAAAAAGTTAGTCGGGCATGGTGGCACATGCCTGTGGTTCCAGCAACTTGGAAGGCTGAGGCGGAAGGATCACCTGAGCCCAGCAGGTTGAGGCTGCAGTGGTTGTGAGCATGTCATTGCACCCCAGCCTGGGTGAAAGAGTGAGACTCCGACTCAAAAAATTAAAAAATAAGATAAAATTACTATGATGCTATTTTACCCTTTTTAATTTGGAAAAGATTAAAAATCTCCAATGTAGGCAAGTGAGCATGGCACAGACATTCCCACACTGTGTTTGTGGGAGTGTGTGAGGTAAGAGTTCACACAGAAAGTCTGTTGTACTCTTGTTTTGTTGGTATCTGCAACCGTGGCAATGACCCTTGGCCAAGCTTGGAGAACCAAACTCCTGGAATGTGTACACAGTTACTGGTTAGTGATGATTACCTGTGTGCTCAAGGCCATGGGTCAAGGTGTGCTAGGTTGTTGGTGTTGTTGACTGGAAATGTGGAGATTCATGAAGGACACCTGCTACCTGGTTTAGGGTCCTGACAGTGGCTAATCATATAGCAGGTGTGTACATATGTGACCAGCCCTCTTCAAGAACTCTAGACTATCAGACTCAAAGTGGGCTTTCCTGGGTAAAGACACCTCGCATGTGTCTCTGTGGTTGTGGTTTTTTGCATTGGTAGAAAAGGCACATCCTGGGCACATAATATCAATAAGGGTACCAGATCCTAAACCAGGGGAAGTGGGGACCAAAGAGAGGCCCAAACTTTACCTGTATGGTGACCACTTATGTACCTAATCCTGAATTGTACCCCACATCTTTAAAATAAAATGAAAAGAAAAAGCATAGAGAAAGAAAAAGAAAAAGGATGCCCATGTGAACTCACAGAGAAGGGATGGCTGGAAACCGTGTATGACCATTCTTGCCTGTGTTTGTCCTACTCTTCCTGCATGATATACTTGTTGAGTCATATGAATCCTTCCAGAAAATCACTAACTATTGGAAGCCCCCAACTCAGAGATACAACAATAAAATGCTATGTGGAATTCTTGACTTAATCCTGATGGTTTCTTAGATATGGCATCAAGAGTACAAGCACAGCCAGGCATGGTTGCTCATGCTTGTGATCCCAGGACTTTGAGAGGCTGAGGTAGGAGGATCCCTTGAGGCCAGGAATGTGGAAACCAGCCTCAGCTCCAAAACAAGATTCCATCTCCACAAAAAAAGTTAAAAATGTACAATACATCTATGTATTCAAAACCACTTGTAACCCTAAAGCTATTAAAATAAAAAATAAAATATAAATAAGAATAGAAACAAAGGCCATTAAAATGATAAATAAATCGGTAGGATGCCAATAACCAGTAAAAACTTTTTTTTTTTTTTTGAGTTGGAGTCTCACTCTGTCACCCAGACTGGAGTGCAGTGGCCACTCCCGGCCACCGCAGCCTCG